TGCAAATGCTTAGTACTAGATTTGACACAAGATAATAACAAACACAAACCAGTACGCGCTCTGCAAAAAGTAGACTGGCGAAATGCCCATAAACATTTTTCTGTACTGTATTAACAAAAAGTCATGACTTTGTAATAAAATACTTTAATATTCAATTCTTACTGTGCATCGTTAAAACATCATTATTATTTAGCAAATTGATTTGCTGCTTTCGTCGGTTCAACCACAGTGCGCCATGTGGATATAGGTTTTGTGGATGCTGCTGCTGCTGCTGCTGCCGCTTAGCAACATTTGTTGCCCAGGCACATGCTGCCAGCAACATTTATTGTTGCTTTGTTTTTCGTTGGCAACTTGCCTAAATTTGAGCTCCAAGCAATTTGAATTAGTTGAGTGTGAGTGTGACACAGGAAATCTTTGTGAAATCTTTGGCTCATAAGTGAATGCAGTTACATAGGAGTGTGCCTGTCAGTGTGTGTGTGTGTGTGTAGTTGCATGTGTATATTGTTAGTCGATTTATGCGCTCGTCTTTGCCTTAACCCCAATTCGCGCAGCGCTTTCAAAACTTCCGCTGTCACGAATTCAATTCAATTCAATTCAATTTTGTTCACAATGCAAAACGCCGACAAATATGCCGCGTCAGACGCAGACGCCGCGACGCCGCGACGCCGCGACGCCTGCGCAGCAGCAACAGCAACAATTTCTGTATTGCCTTCGTTAATGCCGTCAGCAAGCCAAAAGACATGCTCCACTTGGAACTCGCCTGCCAGCTCCCTGACCCACACACACACATACACACACACACATGCACACTGGCTGCCCTTTTTTATTTTCTTTGTTGCTCTTTGTCTCTGTAGTGTCATCTGCAATTTGTAAGGCCGCATTACGAAGTCCCTACCTGCCCTGCCCCGCCCTGCCCTCCCGCCGCCCACAGTTGACGCACCGCCTCGTACGCATTTATTTATCGCTTGTTACCTTTGGGGCGCAGACCCAAAAGCTGGGAACGTGCCCAAGCTGCGTCGGCCGTTGAGATGCTTCCGTTTCGCTGAGCGGCTGGAGAACGCACCAGCCGCTGCCACCCCTCGCCCACGCTCGCCCCTCTTCCACTCCCTCTCCCACTTTTTTTTTTTTTTGGCTGCCTTTTGATTTATTGTTTTTGACATTTTGTGTGCTTATTTCTCGGTTTCAGTTGCGTTTCAAGTGGTTCCCAACAATTCGACTCGTTATGTTTTATTTATAACGGATTTGTAGCTGCCTGCGTTTCGCTTTGTCTTGGCTTTTTGTTTATAAATATTTATACGCCCTGGCCATGGCCATGGCCATAACTGCGTGTGTGTGCATGTGTGTCTGTATGTGTAAGCTGGAAAAAGCAGTTAGCGGTAAACTCGGTGAAGCGACCAGCCACAGCTGTCAGGGCACATCAGCATCCTCCGGCCCAAATATGAGGCCCATTTGACCTGTGCCACTGACGGCTTGAGCTGGGTTCGCCATGGAATTTCTGCCGAATCCAGTTCATTTCTGGTTGGGCTATAGCTGAAGCTTTCAGTTTCAGTTTCACTCGCCGCGACTTTATCAGCTGGCCGAAATGGCTTGCCTTTGGCTTCCACTCTAACGTGCCACTTGCCAGTTGCCACTTGCAACGGGAGCAAGTCGTTGCCAAAACGTCTAATTATGACGCCAGCCAGGCAACGTCGATGCGGCCGCTGCAATTTGCTGCCACCCCAGCTGTGGGGCATTGTGGCGGTGGGCGTGGCTCTGCCACTTGACGGACTGATGATTGGGGCTTGTTGATATTCGCGGTCAAAGCCAACGCAGCGGCACCAGCTGCAAACTTAAGTGAAATTCACTATTTCTTTCTTGGGGGCGTGGTCGGCATTTTGAGCCATTTGAAATCTACAAAAAAAAAAAAAAAAAAAAAAAAAAAA